TCTCTAGACACCTCTATGTGTTCTATGTTGTTCTCTGGAATTCTTATTGTATCTGGTTCCCTAAAGATTTCATTTTGTACAAACACACTTTGGAACTTTTCGTTTAGTGTTTCACACATTTCCTTTTCATCTTCCGTGAATCTATTTCCCATTTTCAACCTCTGAATATTATCCTTTACCTGCAATTTGTTGTTTATGAATTTATAGAATAGACCTGGTTCTGTTTTACATTTGTCCACAATCCCTTTTTCAAAATTTCTTTCTGCCTCTCTCCTCACTGCCGTGTAGTTGTTTCTCGCATCTTTGTATCGCTGGTATGTTTGGGGGTTCGGCCTCTTCCTGTATTGATTCCATTTTTGTGTCTTTCGGTCTCTAGCCCTCTCGCAATTTCTATTGAACCAATCCTGTTTCCTAGTTCTGCATCTCTGTTTTGGTATAAATTTTTTTGTGCCTTTATCATATATTTCACAAAACTTGCCATACATCTCATTCACTTCCTTGCCTAGCATCAAGTCTGTCCAATTATACTCACTAAAAAAATTTCTAAGGTCACCATAATGTCCTCTCCTGAAGTCTGGTTTTTCAACTGCTTCAACCTCCTTATTTTCTTCCAGCTTATAACGCATTGCATACTTTATTCCCAAAAAGACATGGTCACTTTTACCCAAGGGAGGAAGGTACTGAATGTCAAATATCTCTTCCTCCTTCCTGGTAAATATCAAATCTAGCATGGAGGGAACGTCCCCTTCCCTCATCCTCGTAGCTTGTTTAACATGTTGATACAAGAATGTTTCCAGGATGAGATCTACAAATTTACAGGTCCAAAAATCTTCTGTTTTAGCTTCATATGCTTCCCAGTCTATGGATTTCAAGTTGAAGTCACCGACTATCAACAGTCGTGATCTATCGTTATCCGCTCTCGCTATAATCTCTCTCATTATTGTTATAAGACCTTCACGTTTACTATCTAGCTCCTCCTTTGACCATGTGCTGCTTGGCGGTGGACTATATGCATTTATCATCATTAGTTTATCATCCTCATAGCAGATCTCTAGTGCTATTATGTCAACTTCTTGTGGATTGGCAGTCATTATTTCCTTCACCTTTAGGTGTTCTTTTACCAGCACAGCAACGCCACCGCCTAGCGCCACCTTGTATTCACCTAGTTGTGCTTGCGGGGTTGAGCTCTGCTGTTTCGGTCCGCCTCTTAACTGTCAATCAACTGTTTCTACTACTATTTTTTTTCCCACACCGCACACCCCAGGAAGCAGCCCGTGACAGCTGACTAACTCCCATGTACCTATTTACTGCTAGGTAACAGGGGCATAGGGTGAAAGAAACTCTGCCCGTCGTTTCTCGCCGGCGCCCGGGATCGAACCCGAGACCACAGGATCACGTGTCTAAGGTGCTGTTCGCTCGGCCACCGGCTCCCTCAAAATTAACTCGGGCCTGTCCGGGAGTTGAACCCGGGACCTCTCGCACCCTAAGCGAGAATCATACCCCTAGACCAACAGGCCGCTTTGTGCTCCTCATTGGCTGCCTGTATTCTCCCACTCTCTTTGGGGATGTGGGTCTCGTACAGCTCCATTCCCAGGTGCCTTTAGCGTCTGCTTGATGTGGACAACCATCGTGTCTATTTGCTTTTAGGTTCCATTATGCAGTTCTGGGCCTCCTTGAGTTCCATACTGATTTGGCTGCCCTTCCCAAGCTGTGGGCTCTTATGCTCCAATAGGCTGTGGCCGCTTTCTTTGCTGTCCGACTCGCATGTTAACAGGCTGTGTTGGCCTAGTCTTTGGATTCAGCATAGGCTATGGGTTTCTTGTTTAGCTCCTCTTTCCTGAGGAAGTTGTCTCTTGGTTTCTTTCCTCTGTGGTTGCTGCTGGTCGGCCTGTCTTGGACCTCCTTTGTTGTCTCATTCTTGTCCTTGGAGGCGGCTGGGTATCACCTACTGTGAATCAAGGTAGGCCTTCTGTGGAGCCAGATTCTGGGCTGTAAGCATTTCCCCTGCCCAATCCTCCTGGTTGGCATCGTGCTCGCTTTCCATGGAAGGAACCGGTTTCTTGTGGTTTGTGCCAGCCCTTTTGCAGTTCGCTCCTTTAACCCTGGCAATAGAGGGAGGGGGGAGCTCACCGAGTTTAACAGCTCCTGGTTCCATGGTTTGTGGGCTTTTTGGGTCATTTACCACAGCCTGCAGTTCAGTTGGTCGGATCCTCCTCCCTCGGGAGTTCAGGTGTTTCCAAACAAGTTTTTTCCCTTTGCCTGTGTCGGGTCATCTTGCAGTGGGTGGCTCCTGGCAAGGTCGAAATGATTGTCACTTTGGTGGGTTTCCCACCTTTTTTTGGTTCTGAAACGAGACTCAATGGGCCTTGGGTTCATTCTCGACCTTTTTGAGGCTGAACTAGTTCATCCCTTTCCGTACGTTCTAGTTGACTTTGTCTTGGATTCGTCTTGTATTTGAGCCGGACTTCTGGATGATCTTTTGGGACCTCCAAGACATTGTTTGGTCCATCCCAATGCATCCAGGTTTGGGAATCGACTAGGTTTTGTAGTGCGCATCAGGCTTACCACTTTCAGGTGTTTTCATTTGGCCTCTAATCTGTCTCCCCACTTGTTTACACAAGTGCGAAGATGTGCTTAGTAGCACATCTTCGTGTTTTGGCGTCTACCTCAATGACTTGTTGGTGTGGGCTCTTGGTCGCTCTGCTTGTCTGCTAGCCAGGGATTGGGTTCTTTCCCGGATCATTGGGTTTGGGTTCTTGGTGAACTGGCAAAACGTACCAGTTGTGCGAACTTGGCTGAGCCTTGTGTGGGACTCTCGATTGGCTTCACTTTCTATTCCTCCTGTGGCCTTGGCACGGCTGCAACACTGTCATCTGTTGGTTTTGAGTTGGCCCCAGATGACTCTACTGTTGCTCGAGCGATTGTACAGGAGCATAGCTGCTTGAGCAACAGTAAGTAAGTAGCAAGCCTGTGGTGTACTCTGTTGGGGTTTGATGTTTGGACATACCGTTTTCAATGCTGTGTTGGTTATATTGCATGTTCTGGACCTTCTAACAGGGTTCTGGTGGCCCAATATTTGGTGAATGTTCCCAGGCCTTATCTACCCTTTGTGACCTTAGGTCGTGTCTCTTGTGTTGGGGGGAGTCTCGTCTTTGTCCTTCATCTTGTGGTTCACCCTCCTATCTGGTGAGGGCATGGTGAGGGCATGTGTGTTTCTTCCTTCTCCGTGGATAGTTAGCTTCAGGGAGCCACAAGGGGCTCTTTCCCTCACCCCCGGGAAACCAGCATTGAATGTAATGAAACGCCAATTTCTGGGTGAGCCCCCACCACCAACCTTCCTTGTAATTGGGTGGGTCTTGTTGACAGCTCAGACCTCTTGCAGTGGTGAGCCCCCTTTCCCCCTCCCCTCCATACCAGTGGGGGAGGTGGGGGCAAATGAGTTTATAGTAGTTTTGAGAGATTCAGCTGATTGTTTACATGGTTTGGGGAGTTCTTTAAGCAGGTTGTGAGGCTTTGGTCTCTTTTGAACCCAGCAGTGGTTTGTTTTGACTACCTGACTTTCTGGTTGCTTTTTTTAGGTGAGGTGGCAAAATGTCACCGTTCTCCCGTGCTTATGGGAGGGGGGCCAGGTTCTGGCTCTAGTGCCTGGTGGGCCTAGGAATTCCACGGCTGATGTGACCTGGCAAATGGGAACTATCTCAGTGTATAGTTTCAATGAGCCACTGGAGCTCGCCCAGAAACTGACATTTAATTATATACAATGCTGTTGTTTTGATCCTTACAAGGTGTAGGTTCCATGCTGGTGCTGCATACTTACTTAATGGCTTCACACAGGCAGTGTGTATGGATTTTAAAACCTCCTTGTTTAGATTCTTAAATGATGTTTTTATGATTGCTAACTTCCAACATGCTGCTAATGCTATCCTGTTCACATGAGTTTCATGTTTGTGTTGGGATTAGGTCTACCCCCAGGTCTATAATTACATAATAGCTTTGGCTTTGGGAGCCGGTCGGCCGAGCGGACAGCACACTGGACTTGTGATCCTGTGGTCCTGGGTTCGATCCCAGGCGCCGGCGAGAAACACTGGGCAAAAGTTTCTTTCACCCTATGCCCCTGTTACCTAGCAGTAAAAATAGGTACCTGGGTGTTAGTCAGCTGTCACGGGCTGCTTCCTGGGGGTGGAGGCCTGGTCGAGGACCAGGCCGCGGGGACACTAAAAAAGCCCCGAAATCATCTCAAGATAACCTCAAGAAGATTGGCTGGCACTTCACTACTTCCTGAAGCTAGTGTATCCACATGTATGTAGGGAAATAGTGTGAGGTTGTAGTTGATGACTTCATATAGTGGATTAAATAGCTCAGTTTGGTGAGTGAATGTTTACGAGCATTTCTGGAAGAAAGTTTAGTATTTCCCATAATTTTTGGAAGGTTCGTCTCTATAGTTGAACGATCTCTGATCCCAACAAGCTTCCCTCCATGAGAAGTTGACAAAACTGTTAGATAAAGTATTTGTCCTTGATGTGTTGATGGCATCACCAGGAACCTGGCATATTCAGTAAATTATGTATGCAGAGGAAGAAAGCTGAAGAGAGCTACCCAGAAATTCACTCCTTCACTCATGTGGCTCAGAGATGTACTTACCTGGCAAGTGCATACTTATCTGTACATTGGGTTATAACTAATAATAAAAGGTACAGTATATTAAAACATAATCTTCTTGTGATTTTATCATCTATTTAATCTCTAACTGCCTTAAAAAATTCTGCACTAAATCCAGCCTAAGGTTAGGCTTCTTTGGTAATTAAATAATCAGCCAGGATATCTGCATGCTGCACACAAATCCCGTATGGACGTCAAAGCCTGGTAGATTGGGCACAACCAACAAATACCTGTAGAGCTCTTGTATGAAGACCCCTACATCTAGTATTGAAAGCATGTCTTTGTTATTAATTAATTAAATTATATATTGCTGCCATGTGTTTATAGAAATGTCTTTCCAGCTGGTTGTGATGAAGATGATGATGAGACCGTTGCAATGATTAAGGAACTACTTGACACTCGCATCCGCCCCACAGTTCAAGAAGATGGTGGTGATATTCTTTTCCGGGGATTTGATGATGGAATAGTCTATCTGAAGGTACAATAGTAGTTACAGTTACTGAAGTTGTATTGATGTGAACTGATTAGAAAACTCAGACTTTGAGTAAATCTAAAATGTTTGTTTTTAAGCAGATACATTTGGTTAGGGTCAAAGGTGAGACTGCTGTTTCATGAATAGGAGTCATGAATTGTTTGACGAAGACTGTCAGGTACCAGTACTACTAGAATAATTTCAAACATCCTGGCAGAATCAAATGAGGTGATAGATGTCTTCTCTAAGGTCCCTGACTTCAGACTAGCTCATCACTTCTCTGACCTAGCCAGCTACCGACTGACAGATGGCAGCTCTGACTGTTCGTGATTCCCAAACCCAGATATATTAAAATTGTTTCCCTGATGCAAGTAAGAATTCTACCTCAGGATAAGAAGGGAGGACAGTTGGATATGGGAACAATTGACTGTCTCTGCTGAGAAAGGATTAAGTAGTTATCACATTTAGTTTTTCTTAACGTAAAAATTGGAAACTGATGTCTGAATAAACAAGAATATTAAATACGAAGCAAAAAGGGAAAATTACTTTCCTATGATGTATGGCAAAGTGAAATCAGCATGAAAAAAACTGACCCAGGAGGAGGTCATCATGAAGACAGAGGACCCAGTATCACATAATGGAGGCACAAGTGAGGAAATCTAAGAATAAAATGCCTCACAACCAGAAAGGTGACCAGAAAAATTGCCAGCTTTGTACAATATGTTCCCACAAACACACAGGGCTGAAAAGCTTCAATAATGCTATGGATGTCTATAGGTGTTTGAATGCAGCAGTAAGTCAAGTAGTACACTCGTGCAAGAACCAAGAGCAGGGAAAACTAGTTAGTAAGAGCAGACGAAATATAAAAATCATGAACAAGAGATCAGACAGACTGAGGAACATGGAAAGGACTGAGATGGCAGCATCATGGAAAGTTTAAGAAAAGAAGACCAGATGGGTTGAAGCAGACACCAAGCTGGGGAGGCTCCAGGGGTGTTGGCCCAAATACAAGAATGAATGGGACTTCTGCCAGTTCACCAAGAACCCTGAACCTGGTGAGCTGGGTAAGAATGAGATCCCTGACTAGCCAACTGCTTTCGACTTACTGGGTGCCCAAACCTACCAGTCATCAAAGCAGGCCAAAAAGATGTAGCTGGGCCACAACAACCCACATTACCCTGCTGAAAATACAGGGAGCCAGATTCACGCTGAAAGGCAGAACCTGGAATTGGCAAGAACTATGCCTCGCACAAATCCTGACCTGTCATGAACTCCAGATGTATAGGGACGTGCCAGTACATGTCTTCGAGATCTAAGGACACCATCTAAACTCCCAACTGGTGAACCAACTGAACTTAGGCTAATCTAGCCACCAGGAAGGTCGGATGGAATGAAGCTGTTGAAACCCGGAAGTTTGAGGGTGAACCAAAGGTCCACTGACTCCCTCTTCGGGACCAGGAATAATCAGGACACCCAACGAAAGGATGAGGCTGGCTCGACTACATCCAAGTTGACCATGTTGCAATGGCCCGACGCAGCAGTAGAGATGAAGCATGACCTATTATGCAGGCCAAGGGGGAAGAACATGAAATGCCCTTGAATCATTGGACAAGAAATCAGCAAAGCGATTTTAAATGACCTCCACTACACTGTAAAAGGTGAAAACCACAAAAGGGCCAACAAAGAGTCATGAGAGGCACTATCCTTCTGCAACACAGAGGAATGGCACTTATGAACATAAGTGCTCCTTGCAGAAAATGCAACAGCCCAAGAATCTGGCACCCCCGAGGACCTACCCTGACCAACAGCAGGTGCAGCCCCAGCCCTACTAGACTGCCTCCAAGGATGAGGAACAGAACCTTGTGTAGCCAAAAGTTAAGATATCAGATGGCACTATTTAGCAGCCATCAAAAGAAACTGCACTACAATATCTTCAGGAAAAAGAAGTGAAAAGGGGAAGGCCAACAAATCCAAATCTAAAGACTGGACTTGGCCTGTAATGACGCGAGTTGTATAAAATGTTGCCACCACCTGAAGGATGGGTACAAAGGTCTTGGGGGATGATTCTGCAACCAGGACTGCAGGCATCAAGGCCTCTACACCTGGAACCAAGCCATGTGAGTCCAAATCACATGGAACAAAAAACTCCTTGAGAGCCCACAAATGCATAATAATTGCAAAGTTTGTATGTGCTTTGTGATCCTCTGTGATAAGGGCTGCACAAGGCACAGGCAACTGATTATGAAGCTGCCACTTACCCATATCCTTGGCAAAAGCTACTCAAGCACACAGGAATGACAGAATCCCTGCCAAGCCCCAAAGAAACAAAGGGCTGTCAGCCAGCTAGAATGAGTCTGTAACCTGATAATACAGCCAAAATGGCAACACCAATCTAAATTCAAAGGAAATGGGGCCCATTATGGAAGTGAGGCCCAAATTATACAGGCGGTCCCAAAAAAGATCTTTCAAGATATGAATTTAATATCTTGGCAGCTCCCACAAGGAAACAGGTCCTGTGGGAGCTGCCAAAATCAAAATATCAAGAGAAATCAAAGGGCACCCATGGGGCCCAAGGTTGGCCTGCTTCCCTAGCCACAGGAGCCTGCCATTAAGGTTCCATCCATGGCACATTACCTTGCGATGATTTCGGGGCTTAATACTTTCGTTCGGGAGAGACATATACAACGTCCGTAATTAACTCTGCGGATTTTCGGGAGGGACGTTACAACGTCCGAATTTAACATATTTTCTGTGGGGAGCCCCTACGACTCCTAGGAGGGCTAATGTATGTTATATTAGACCGGGACAATAGCTATGGAGTTCAGACCTACCAGGGACCAGTGCCAGAACCTGGCCCCTTCAGAGAGGTTTCAGGGAACAATGGCCCTGGAAAACCCCCTTGTGGTTGGGGGTTTTTCTTATCTGCTATTGACCGGGGTTAGACACCCAGAAAGGTAGGCATAACAAAACAAACCCCACATGGTAAGAAACTAAAACAAAAACCGAACAGAGAGGTAGAAACTCCCTACAATCCCAAAGAAATGAGCAAACAAGCTATTATCACAATTTACTGCTGTGCCACCTGTCTGTGCAGCCCTCCCCTCCCCGGGAGGGGAAGGGGGGGCCCAGGATCTCTCTGCGCCGGCTGCCTTCAGTTCGTAAACTAATGTCAACCGGGACAGGCGCTGCTCAGGCCTCAAATTCCTGGGCGGTGTTTGCCTTGTGTGGTGTTCTCTGCTGTCTGTGTGTTGTGTGGTGGCCAAGAGTATCTCATCAGTGCTGGGGCTGCATGCACTTAGGGGCTTCCTTCCCTAAGCGCCCTGTGAGTACTGCACATGCGTGTCAGGGTTATCTTCCCTGGGGCTTTCGGGAACCGCTCCCGTAGGGGTTTTTGCTGCTCGGCATTTGCCTCGCCCTTGGGGCCAGCTGGGGCTTAGGGCCCTTGTTTGGCCTTGAGTGGTGTTGTGGTAGTTAGGGCGTCAAGGTGTTGCGCATCCTGCCACCTACGCGGCGGCCGGTTCCTGTTGCCTCTGGGGACAGTGTACTTTTGCAGGGTTTTTCTTTTGTTTTGTTTTTGTTTGCTTGGTGGGGGTTCTGCCTTGTGGGACTATATTTCCCCCTGATACTGTTTTGGTGGCCCTCTGCTAGGTCCCCGTGCTTGTACACGTCAAAGGAGTTTCAGTGTTATTATCTATCCCTTGTTGTTTGGATTTTTAACCGGTTAGCAACACCTTGCCCGGGCTTCCCATAGTTGTTACCCTACGGGCCCTGGAAACCCCTGTCGGGGCTCGGGGACCCATGGATGCATCTCCCAAGTTCCAGCCTGCCTTGTGCGGGTTTGAAGGTTGCTGTGTGCCTTGTCTTAGGGTGACGGTCACCTGTTTTGCCTCTGTCATGCTGCCTGTTGGGTCAATGACACCATTGACCCGAAGTCTTGCGAGTGGTGTTCTCTGCTTGTGCTCCAGTTTTTTTCTGATGATATTGCTGTTAGGGTACAGGCAGCATTTGTGTTGCATGTTAGGTTTATGTTACTGCAACGTGCTAGGTTGGTTTTGCACACGGATGCCCCGAGGCTGTCCCGTTTTGGTTTTAAGGACTCAGACATGGGGGCGTTAGTTGCTTCGACTTTGGCTCCTCCCTTGCTCCCTGGTCCCTTCCCTGTGGTTCATCCTGCAACCTCTCCCCCCCCCCCCATGTCCAGCTCCCAAATGTCTGAGTGTTTCGGATTCGGCACAAGGTTTAGTTGGTAATGAGGCTCGGGCAACATCGGGGGCTTCCCCATTCGGGTTGGAGACGTAGGCATTTGAGCCGGTTCCTTCTGCCAAGGCTTCTGGGTCCCACCAGCAGGCCCCCTTCTTGTCTGCCTTTCCCCTGGACTCTGCCTTTTCTTCAGGGGTAGAGTGTGTGGAGGATGGCTCTGCCCCGGGTCCCGCTGTAGGGGATCCTGGGGCTGGGGAGGAGTCAACCTGGGGGCCCTTGGGTCCCCTCTGACCCCGCTTGGGTGCTCTTGCCTTCCTCGCAGGGCTTATTGTTGCAGGGGGAGGGGTTTCCTTACCCTCCTTCCCTGTATGAGTATGATTTGGATTTGGTTCCGGGCTCCTTTGGGTACCTCGGCTCCATCTTTCCAGAAGTTTTCTACTTCCCGTATCTCCGCGAAGGAGGCTCGGGAGGCCCTTGCTGCATACTTCTTGCGAGACCCGGTTTATGCCTCTGTGATGAATCTGTCCTTTTTTGAGTTAGGTTCTTCTTCCCGCTTTTGGGTGTGTTTGGAGGTTCTGGAGTCTTCCTGGCTTGCAGACTGCCCATTCTTTTCGTTGGGGCATTGGTTCTGTCGGACCCGTACGCTTGATTGGCGTGAAACTTTTACAGTTATGCAGGTTTACCTGGGGGGCGAGTTTTGAGGACCTTAATGGTTGCTTGTTTGCCCCTATGCTTTCTCAGGATGTAGACTTTTTCAGCTTTACGTGCAGGTTCCTCTTCTTTCGACATCATTGGTTGCAGAGGAT